CACATAGTGAAGCTAAAGTCATTTTAATGTAGCTTCTGATGTCCCATTAGGCTGCTTTTGTTCATTTAAGCTTCCTTGTGCAATAAGGTTACTTTTATTTATTTATTTTTTCTATTTTACTTTTCAATGCATTACAAAATTCTATACTGTTAGTGAATTATAGATTGAGTAGCTTTAATTAGTTAATTGTTATTCATACTATGCTCAAATGATTATTAAAGTAGAATTTGTGAATTTGTTAAAAGATTTTATGTTCAATTATTCTGGATTTTATTGGTGGTTTGGTCTGCCACAAACCCCACTTAAAATATTTCTCCACCCCAGGCCATTGCCACTCCAAAGAGAAAGAAAAGGAAAAAAGTGCAATTTTAGAAATAATCTCCAGCAATTGCTATTATACCTATTGTTTGCGACACATAATTGAAGCTTAAGGAAAGCATGATCATAAAATATCAAGAATTTTGAATGAAAAAAGGAATTAATTTTAGTTGTACAACATGCTGAACAACATAAAAGGAATAGCAGAAAGCAGCAAACAACTGCAATGAGAACTCTTTAATGGTCAGATATCGGTGTGTATCTGAGACTGAGTACCTTACTAATGAGTCCATCCATTTTTAATTGGTTAGATATGGATATGTATTATTGTACGTTGATTATAGTGTCATTAGTGTGTTATTCATAACTATGTATGCGTATATGTCTACGAAAATAATTTTCTCCAAATTTGCAAAGTTTGTTTTCCTTGATACATTATAATACTATTTTAAACCATGGTTTTAAAAAATGACCCAGAAATGAGACTGTTCTAGTCATTGTCTAATTTGAACGGATGGCCCGTTTTGACAAAAGCAATAAAAAAATAAAAAATGGCCAAAAATCATTGAATGGGTCGACGGTTTGACTGCCTGGATTAATGGGTCATTGAGTGATTCAACGATTTTTTGGCCAGGGACCAGGTTTGTGGTAAAACGGAACCGGTTGCCTAGACGGTTCTCGGGCCGAACTGTCCAACCGTCTGAGTCAATGATGATTCAAAAACCATGTTTTAAACAGAGGAAATTTTATAAGAGTTAATTACTTGTTTGTATGTCATTTCCTTTTTCTCATTTTGAAATTTCTCCCGAAGCATGAAAATGTACACTGTTTGGGTTGGCTTTCCCTTCCCCCTCTTCTTTTTATCTTAATTCCCCTTTTCCCCTCTTATTTTTATCTTAACTAGTAATTAAGCATGTGCGTTACACGGAAGAAATTTGTCTTCACATTAATTACTTGAATTTTAGATATATCATAGTTAAAATAGAAAATGAAAATTAACAAAAGTAACAATATAATTAAAAATAAACTTAAATGCTTGTATTAAATGTGCTCGTGAAAAATTTAAATTACATTAACGATTATTATTATTATTATTATTATTATTATTATTATTAAATTTTGTATTTCAGTTATGTCATAAATAAAAATAATTTTTATTTTAACAATTATTTTTATTTAATATGGTGAACATATAACATTAGAAATATTCCCAAATGTTTTTGACAAAATTCTGAATTTTTTTCATTTTTGTGTTCTATCTTTTTTTTAAATATTTATTATTCAATTATGACATCATGAGTTTCTTCGAAAAGTTGGATCGACCCACCATCAAGATAAGAAAAATAGCTTTGCTTTCGGATTAGTTTTAAATTATATTGCATCTACAATATATAAATAGTGTTTGCTTATCACACTTAATTTTTGTTTGACATAATTAATATGTACTTTTTATATATTCTTTTGATTACTTGTATTTTTTTATTTTTTAAAGATTTATTATTTAACTGTCATATCATCGATTAATCCATTTGATCCAAACTACTAAAACACCACCCAAAAAGGAAAATCGTTTGACATCTAGGTTGACATTAGATTTTATATTACATTTCCATCATTGATAAAATTATTTCTTATGTATAATACTTATTTTTGTTCAAATATTGAATGTATAATATTAGAGATGTATCCAATATTTTTTTTAACATATAACATTAGATACGTAACCAAATTTCTCTACTTTTTTATTTTTATGATTCATTGTACTTTTCTATTTTTAAAAATTTATTATTTGACTATAACATCATCTCATTTCTAGGTTGATTTTAAATCCGGCATTCCATTTCCATCATTAATAAAAATACTTCTTACGTTTCATACTTATTTTTGTTTAGTATAATGAATATAAAATATTAGAGATGCCCAATTATTTTTATTTTTTGTATTATATATTTTATTATTTTAATTATTTAAATTTAATTATGACATTATTTATTAATCTATTTGACTCCAAATGGTTGAATTGCTTACCCATCACCGGGAGGAAAGAAAATGGTTTTGTTTTAAAATTACTTTTCAGAATATTTATTTTCATACTATGAAAATTAATGTTATGAATTTAATTAGTAGAATTTAATAATGAGAAAAATATATGTTAAATATAGGATTTAATGAGAGAATATACCTTATTACATATGAGATTTAATGAGAGAGAATAGAAAAATAGTTTTATTTCCAATTTGTTTTAAATTTTATATTCCATTTCCATCGTTAATAAAAATATTTCTTATTTATCATACTTATTATTATTTAATATGTCAAATATATGATGTTAAAAATGTTACTTTTTTAATTTATATATATATATATATTCATTTATCTGTTTTTGAAACACTATTTTCTCTAGGTAGATTTTCAAAGTATAAGTTTTTATGTTAATGGAATTATTAATTTATTATGTATGGATTTAATTAATGGAATTTAATTATAAGAAAAAACAAAAATGTCTTATATGATTCAATGGAGGTGAATGCAAGTTAATACCCTAAGTGTTGGATTTAAAGAAAGGGAATTGAATGCATTGAATATCTTAAAATTAACTCTTTTGAATTCATTTAATATCAATAACCAATTACCCTATTTTCCCTTATTTTTTATTAATAAATTTTAAATATAGAGGGGTATAATTTATCCTTAGAAAATTCTAGAAATATTCTTGGACTATTGGTGCTTTTTAAAGTAGTATAGATTAGGGATGTCAATGAATTGAGTTAAGTGGCAAGCCTGCACTGACCCGACCATATCAAGGTTAGGGTTGGGTCAGCCTTAATTGGCTTTTACGTCGAGTTCAGATTGATGTGAAGACTTAGTGAACCCGACCTATTGGCATTACTACATTGAAATATTTGTGTACATATATAGGCTTGGTTGAGACGTTGAGTATACATGCATTCAATATAAGATGGATCGGGTTGAAGTAATGGAGTTGCTTTAGGGTAGGTTTAGGGCCTGTTCGTTTGCTCTGAAGTCTGACATCTAAAAGTGCAATAATTACATTAAGATGTATATTGGCATTGGTGAACTTTTCTTTCCTCTGAATTCTGAATGTAGAGAATGTTGTTCTGAATTCTGAAAATTATCAAACATTCATTTTGACCCCATATATGATAGTTTTTGTTTGCCTTTTTGGGAGTATCATTGGAAAACAAAAGTTGTATGCTTGCACTTTAAGATATAAGAGATAAGAGGAAACGAACAACCATTTTTCTCTTAAAGTTAAAAGATTCCACTTAAGAGATAAGAGTTAAAAGGAAATGAACATGCCCTTAGTTGAACCAAACCCTTCATCCCTTATCTTAAATTCTTAAGAAATTTCTCTTATTTAGCTTTTCATAAGGCTCAATTTGGAAAGAGCATAAATACAAATACATGCAAAATAATACAAAATATAAAGTTTTGCATTATGCGTATTTGTATTTGTACGCCATCCAAATTGAGCCTAAGACTCAGTTTGGAAGGAGTACAAATACAAATATGTAGAGTGCAAAACCTTGTATTTTGTACTATTTTGTATGTATTTGCACTGTACATATTTGTATTTGTACTCCCAAACTGAGCCTAAGTAACAAAAAGAACAAGAAAATGTATATTAGTGGGCTTGTTAATAATACCCAAAAATTTATGGCTTGATCTGATATCTGATCCGCTTATCTTAGATTGGGTTCAGATTAGTGTGTCTATGTAATTGGATCGGATTTGGATTTTGCAATCTACATCCAATTACTAGTCGGATCGGACTCAGATTTGACTAAAATCCGAATCTAATTATATTTGAAATTATAAGAAATATTTTTATATATTATATTTTATATAAATAATAATAATAATAATTTAATATACATATTTACATTAATTTATCATAAATATATAAAAGTTGAAAAATGATTAATTTTTTTATTTTTTTTTTGTATTTTAAAAAATTAAAGCAAAATTGGATTAAATCCAAATCCAATCCAAATCTAATAGGATTTGAATTCAAATCCGAGGTCTTAAATTCCAATAGGATTTGAGATTCAAATTTTCAAAAGTAGGATTAGATTCGGATTTTGCTGAACTTGATACCTGTCCCTATATCAGTTGTATAATTCATTTTTTACCCTCCACTTTTTTGGCCATGTGTTCTCTCCATTTTCAAGGAAAGCCTTGCACAACAAACTTTTCCCTCTCTTGCTCTATCTTGCGAATTGGGATCACCTGTCAACAAAACGAATTCCAACACTCTACCAATAATATTTGACATCTCACTAGACCTAGCAATTGGATTGGATGGATTGGATAAAGACACTTTGAGTTGATTTTGGGTCGGGTTGAATTTTGAGTTGGATTGGCAAATGCTAGACTCTAAGCTTAAACGTTCGAATTAGAGATGATGCAAGGTCAATTCAGGTTATCTAAAAAAATAACTGAAATTTTAATAAAATAAAAAATACAAAAAAATGTCAAATTTAAGGGAATTTATCTTAAAATTACAAAAATAAAATAAAAAATTTAAACATTTAACAATTTATAGAATAAACACTAAATAGTAAATATTAAAGAGTGGAATCGGGTCATTCTCAAATTCAGATAGGTAAATATGAAGACGCCAACCTGCTTTTTCGGGTTGGGTTGGGTCGGGCTCGCGAGTTGGGTCAACTTTTTGCCAGGTCTTCGTGTTGTTAGTAGGGTGTTGTAACTAGCAGGTGATCGCACTCTCTCGCTTCTTCCCCTTCTTTCCTCTTTGAAACCCTCCCGGCCCCCTCGTGTTGCCTTCACCTCCTCGACCACTGCGTCTGTCATCAGGGGTTTGTTCGTCTACGGTTTCTTTGTCAAGCCCGTTGGTTTTCAGCGGCTGCCATTTCTTAATTCTCTTAAACCATCGGTTTCCTCATCATTGCTAAGGTAAGCTCTCTTAGCCCGTCGGTTTCAACTTCCGAGTATTCTTTTATTTCAAGCAGAGTATTGACTCTTTTATTTTCTTTCAAAATCCTCTTAGGTAAAATAGAACACGCAGTGACATTTTCTCTCTACTATTTGTATTTTAGGCAGAGTATTGATTTTTCATGCGTCTGGTTATTTGTATTTGCTCTTCCATTTATATGCATTTTTCCTTTTCTCTCTCTTCGAGTTCTTTTAGGTAAAACAAAAGCTGGGAATGAGCCCTTTTTCATGTGTTTGGTTATTTGTATTTGCTATATACTTTTTTTCTCTGCTACAGAATTGATTTTTCTATTTCCTCTGTTTTTGTTTATGTTTATTATATGTGTTGCATTTTGGTGGTTTGTTTTGTAGGAATACTTCTGTTTACTTGGAAGGCTGGTACACCTCTGCAATATTTTCTTTTCAAATTCAGCTATTACACAACATTAGAAAATTTGTTTCTACTTCCTCTTTTCAAATCCATTGATTAGACCCGATCCATTGACAGTTAGTTGTTACCTAGATAAGTAAAAACTAATGAGGCCTTAATGTGTGCGTGGGTGTTATGCAGGAGATCTGTGCTCGTCCAGGCATTGACCCAATTCCTAAGTCTCCTCCATGCGTCGGAGAAACACAGCTGTCTTGGCTAAACTCCCATGAGTGTTGTCAAAGTCAATTATCTGGGCAAACGTATTTCAACTATTCTTCCACTTGGTATCCGCTCTCTTTCATCAAAAGCGTCTTCTCAGAATAACTACATTAGCCATCAACTCGATCTCTTCCTCTCCAACCAAGTTTCAGATACCCAATCTCTGTTCCAATCTCACGCTTTCATCATCACATCTGGGCATTCAAATAACATCTTCTTGGCAGCCAAGCTCATCTCCTTCTACTCCTTTTTCAACAGAATTGACTTTTCCAAACAAGTTTTTTATTCCGTTCATCCCAAAGACACCTTTCTTTGGAATTCCATCATTAAATCCCATTTCTCTAATGGCGAGTACTCACGAGCTCTCAAGTTCTACGATGAAATGTGCAACTCAAGTACCCCTCCTACCCATTTTACCATTCCCATGGTTGTTGCCGCCTGCGCTGAACTTTTAGCCCTTGATCATGGTAAAAACATCCATGGTATCACTTTAAAGCTCGGCCTATTCTATGATAATTCGGCAGCTGGGTCTTCTTTTGTTTACATGTATTCAAAATGTGGTGAAATGGGAGATGCATCTCGTATGTTCGATGAAATACCTTTTAGAGATGTGATTTCTTGGACTGCTCTTGTGATTGGTTACGTGCAGAATGATGAGAATGAGAAGGCTTTGGGTTGTGTTCACGAAATGCATAGTAGTGGCACAGATGAAGAGAAACCAAATTCTAGAACAATTGAAGGCGCTCTACAAGCTAGTGGAAATCTGGGGGCTCTGTTAGAAGGTAAATGCCTACATGGCTATGCAATTAAAACGGGAATTGGGGTTTCCCAAGTTGTTAACTCATCATTGTTTATGATGTATTCAAAGTGCGGGACCATTGAAGAAGCTTATTCTGCTTTTTGTGAATTGCCAGTTAAAGATCTCATTTCATGGACAACAATTATTGGGGTTTATGCGAAGACAAGAAATATTCATGAATGCTTGGATTTGTTTTGTGAAATGCTGGCTGCAGAAATTGAACCTGATTGGACCATTATCAGTTGTATGCTTTCACGTTTAGGGAATTCCATGAGGATTAATGAAGGAAAAGCCTTTCATGGTCTGGTTATAAGGAGAAATTTCACAATGAATCAGATGATTATTAATTCTTTGCTTGCAATGTATTGTAAATTTGGGTGCATGCATCTAGCAGGGAAGCTTTTTCATAAATTCTGTGGACAGGATGAAGAATCTTGGAACTGGATGGTTTTTGGATATGGTAAAGTTGGGATGGAGGCAAAGTCCTTAGAATTGTTTAGAAAAATGCATCATCTAGACCTCAACTATGATCTAAATAGTTTAGTCTCTGTTATTTGTTCATGTTCCAACTTAGTTGCAACACATCTAGGTCAGTCTTTGCATTGTTATGTGATTAAAATTGGGATTAGTGAGAATGTTTCAATTGCAAATTCTCTTATGGGCATGTATGGAAAATGCAACGATATGACCATGGCATGGATGATATTTTCTTGGATGCATAGAGACGTTGTCACATGGAACATTTTGATTTCGGCTTATGTTCACAATGGTTATTGTTATGAGGCTTTGATCCTTTTTGATCAGATGGTTTCAGAAAACATGAAACCCAACTCAGTGACATTGGTTATCGTCCTTTCAGCTTGTGCTCATCTAGCAAACCTGGAGCTTGGAGAAAAGGTTCACTGTTACATCAAGGAAAGGGGATTAGAGTGTGATCTATGTCTTTCTACTGCATTAGTTGATATGTATGTGAAATGCGGGCAACTTGGAATAGCAAGAGAAATCTTTACTTCATTGGATAAGAGAGATGTTATCTCATGGAATGTAATGATCTCAGGATATGGAATACATGGAGATGCCAAATCTGCCATTGAGATTTTCCAACAGATGGAGGAATCGGGGGAAAGACCAAATGCACTAACCTTCCTTTCTGTTCTCTCAGCATGTAATCATGCAGGACTCATTGAAGAAGGGAAGTACCTATTTGGAAAGATGAAAGAATACTGTGTTTCACCAACATTGAAGCACTATTCATGTATGGTGGATCTTCTTGGTCGATCAGGAAACCTACGCGAGGCTGAAGCTATGGTTCTATCAATGCCTATTGCTCCTGATGGAGGTGTCTGGGGAGCTCTTCTTGGTGCTTGTAGAATGCACAATGATGTTGAGATGGGAGAACGAGTTGCAAAGTGGGCTATTGAATCTGACCCTGGAAATGATGGGTATTATGTTCTGCTTTCCAACATGTATAATTCGATTGGAAGGTGGAAAGATGCAGAGAAGGTGAGGGAGATGATCAAGAAGAATGGAGTTAGGAAGATAGCTGGCTGGAGTGTTATATAATATAATAGGGAATAGAGATGGCAAATAGGCATGAATGCTCAATCTAATAGGATTAATCAAGTTTAAAGCCCCTAATAGCAGTTGGGGGCTGAATGATATTGAATTAAGGATATTAGTTTTTGCCCCTTTTGCCCTCCACTTTTTTTTCGGCCACGTGTCCTCTCTCCATTTTCGAGGAAAGCCTTGCTCGGCAAGCTTTCCCCTCTATTGCTCTCTCTTGCACTCTCTCGCTTCTTCTCCTTCTTTGCTCTTTGCTCTGAAACCCTCTCACCCCCTTGTGTTGCCTTCACCTCCTTGACCGCTACATCTGTGAAACCAAAGGGTTCATCAGGGGTTTGCTTGTCTAGGGTTTATTTATCTAGCCCGTTGGTTCTCAGCGATGGCCATTTCTTGATGCTCTTAACCCATCAGTTTCCTCATCATTGCTAAGGTAAGCTTTCCTAGCCCATCGGTTTCAACTTTTGAGTATTCTTTTATTTCAAGCAGAGTATTGATTCTTTTATTTTCTATCAAACTCCTCTCATTGGTTTCCAGAATAGGGTGTTCTCGCCAATGGCCGTTTCTATGCTCTTAGTCCATCGGTTTCCTCATCATTGCTAAGGTAAGCTTTCCTAGCCCATCGGTTTCAACTTTTGAGTATTCTTTTATTTCAAGCAGAGTATTGATTATTTTATTTTCTGTCAAACTCTTCTCTTTGGTTTCCAGAATAGGGTGTTCTCGCCAATGGCCATTTCTCTGCTCTTAGTCCATCGGTTTCCTCATCATTGTAAGGTAAGCTCTCTTGGCCTGTCGGTTTCAACTTCTAAGTATTCTTTTATTTTCTTTCAAACTCCTCTCTTAGGTAAAATAAAACACACAATGGCATTTTCTCTCTGATATTTGTATTTTCGGTAGAGTATTGATTTTTCATGCATCAGGTTACTTGTATTTGCTTTTCCATTTATATGCATTTGTCTTTTTCTCTCTCTTCGAGTTCTTTTAGGTAGAAAAAGCTGGGAGTGAACCCTTTTTTCATGTGTTTGGTTATTTGTATTTGCTATCCATTCACGTCTCTTTAGATGGGGATACTTTTTTTTCTCTGCTACAGAATTGATTTTTCTATTTCCTTTGTTTTTGTTTATGTTTATTGTATGTGTTGCATTTTGGTGGTTTGTTTTGTAGGGAATGCTTCTGTTTACATGTAAGGCTGGTACACCTCTGCAATATTTTCTTTTCAAATTCAGCTATTACTTCCTCTTAAGTTTTCTAATATTTGGATTGGATATTTTTGGTGTTTGTAGATTTTAAGAGGGGATGGGTCTTGAAGATTGATTAACTGTCAGGTGTCTAGAAGGCAGCTCTCTCTTCCTGGTTAAGTTGCTTGGTAAATATAGATGCTTTTTCCATGTGGAAACAGTTCTGAGAGGGGCGCTAGAAGACAGCTCTCTCTTCCTGAAGTTGCTTGGGAAATATAGTTGCTTTTACATCATTACACAACCCCTCAAAGGTGGTTAGCCTCTGTTAATCTCCTCATTTAAGATTTCTTAATGCCCCTTGTTTTGCTAAACTATATGGAATCTATCCCCACCTCTAGATGGAGCTATTAATTTGTGTCTTTGGTGTGTTTGTATGTATTCTGTACCAGTTTAATTTGCTTCTGTATTTGGCATTTACTTTTTCTTATTGATGACAGTGATAAGAAGAGCACCTCATGAGTTCAAGATTGCATCTTCACAGGTGCACTTCTTCCCATTTTGTTCTAGAAATTTTAGGTATTTATATCAGATCAGCAGTGGTGTTTGGGATTTTGATTCTGCCAATTCGTGATATATATTTTTCCTCTCTCTCTCTCTCTCTCTCTCTCTCTCTCTCGTTTAACTTTGGTTTGATTTGGGCCTTGGGGGACTTTGTAGTCAAAGGTCAGAGAAGACCAAAGTAGGGAGTGCTTTGAGTGGTGCACTGGTAAGCACTCTGGTTGGGCTTGCTATTTCCAAATAGATTATTGATGTGCTTATTATTTAATTTGGGATAGATGTTTGTGTTGTTGGTGTTGCATGTATACCAATGGGTGGTTTCCTTGGTTCCTTATTCTCTGTGGCGGATACAGGGCTTCACTCCATCCTCTCAATTCTAATGTTTTGGTTGCACCAACATTCTGCAGATCTTCCTGCTGATCTTCCAATGGCTCCAGCAGCTGTAGCGGCTCCAGACTTGATAAAGCCTTGAGGTTTTGTTTTTCTTTGTTATTTGTATTTTCCTTTGATCTCTTTAGAAATAAAAAAAGAAATAGGTGACTTTAGATCAAAACTTCCATAAGCCAATTTAGTAGAGTACTATTTCCAAATAGATTATCGATGTGCTTATTATTTATTTTTCTTTTCTTTTTATTTAATTTAGTATAGGTGTTTGTGTTGTTGGTGTTGCATGTATACCAATGGGTGGTTTCCTTGGTTCCCTTTCTTCATTATCAGCTACCTATCTTGGATCTATAGCAATTGAGTGTAAGATGAAAACCTTCCTGATTTGTCTCTGTTTATCAAATCTTAAATTTAGGCAGTACCCAGCAGGTTGTCTGAATTAGGGGCAGGAATACCTAATTCAGTGGTGTGCATAACCATTAACAAAGTCTGTGCATCTGGGATGAAGGGCGAGGGGACTTTCTCTGGTAAATGGTATTTACTGTTGGAATTTGGATTGTGGAGGAGGGTTATTATTTTCTTCTGGTGTGGGAGGAGAAAGAGAGAGATCAAGAGATGGGGTTTAGCATGCTTGAAAAGAATCCTTGGGTAAGTGAAAAGTAGGACCATTATGGACCTATTAGAAGTTGTCAGATTTCATTTTGCTAGCTAATTGAAGCCATTCAAAAATGTATATTTCAGACTTCTCAGAGTTTAATTTGTTCATGCATTACCTGCTTCAGTTGACCATTGTTTTTCTCCCTTACAAATTCTGGTTGGTTGTTTTTAATGTTTTCCTTATCTTAAACAGTTTGAGCAAGTTGGTGTTGGTGATAATGTTGATCACTGCTCTCCAGTGCAAGTAAAACTTCCAGATGAATAGGTACATTCCTGTTGGGCTAGAATATTGAGTTCCATGACTTTTCTTTTTTTCTTTCTTTTTTCTTTGACTTCTCATTTGAGGTGGATGTGGTCTATATGAAGTATGGTTTTGTTTTCCTTTAATTTTTCATGAATCGTTGCTGGGCTTCCTAGCAGAAAGTGGTACAGATCTCTTATGGGTGGAGGCATACACTAGCTGTTACAGAAAGGCAGAACGTTTTCTCTTGTTGAAGAGGTACAAATGGACAAATTGGACATGGAGATCCTCTTGATAGGCAATTGCTTTTCTCAACATGATTGATGTTTGAAATTGAGTCACCGTTTAATTGTTTTTCCCTGCAAATACATCTCTCATTTCTCGCATGGGTAATTGTGTCAATCTTGATGCTACAAAGTGAAATTATTTTTACTGTTTGTGAATGTGGCGTTGCTCTATGGTTTTAGAAATCATAGATCACATCTGAACCAAATCTTTCCACCCAGGGGGAGGTCATGAATCAAATTAAACCTAAGCCACCTAAATCCTAATTACCCCTAGTTCTGATTCCATTATCCTATCTTTCTTTTTCACCTTCCCTTTGATCTTAAACCCCAATTGTGCCAAATTTTCCAATTTTCCCTTATCCTATCTTTATTTGAAATTGCGCCATGGTTTCATATCTGTGAATTGGTTTAACTGCAAATTCCTCCACATCATATCTTGTGACCCATATTAAAATAACTACTGTTCCATATTTACAGGTTCATTTAGCTCCTGGAAGCAAGTTCCACTTCCAAAATACATCAGAAGGTTGATAGAAGGTGATTCAAGATAGTCATGGGAATCAGGTAAAATAGTTTATTACTTGATGCCTGTAGTTTGCTCTAATTGCTTTGGCTGTGATTTTTTTGTGTATTAATTTTATTGGTGAGCTACTCCTAAATAAATCTCTTTATTAGATGATCGACATTAATCTTTCCAATTAGGTAATGAAAAAATTCTGAATAATATTGTGTTGATTTTAGATAATCCTGGCAGTTGGAATCAAACTTCAAGCAATTATAATGACAATGGCTCTTGGAATCCAAGAAAGACATGTAGTGGCTCAGGGGATTCTTCTAGCTCTCTCTCTCTCTCTCCCTTAAATTACCCTAGCTCTTCATTTTACTGTCTGGTTTTGTTTGTAGGTTTCATCAATCAATGTATTCTAACATTTTACATGCTTTTATAGGTATTCAAACCCTAGATGTTGATTTTATGTACAAGTACAGTTCATTAGGAGCTTCTGTTTAGTATTGTCTGGTTCAGGTCCTCTCTCTGCCTCTCTCTATTTGATTGTTTTTAGTTAACCTTTTAATGCAGTTAGAAAGTGTTGATTTTACTTGAAAAGAAAACTGATTGGAATGAGTATAACATTTCATTTATAGTTGTAGATTATTTATTTTGTTTCTGGAAACTTTTGGGATTTTTCATGCAACTACAACTATCTATTTTGGACTTTCATGTACAAGCTTTTAAAGTTTCACTAGATTGTTGACCATCTTCTGTGTTGTGCCCTTGCATGGATTGTAATAAATTATGTTAAGTAAATGTAGTTTTAATGACATTTAATTTCAGTTCAAGCAGCCAACAAATAATCACCTGATACCGTGGACAATGGGAGATTCATTTGCCTCTCCCTCTCTGTTGATAATGGTGTTGTGTCCTATCTAAGTCCGCTAAATGGAGAATAGTGTTGTGGGAGGTTCATTTGCCTCTTCATCTCTGTTGATAATGGTGTTGTGTTCTGTCCAAGTCCACTAAATGGAGAATAGTGTTGTGTAGATACAGGAAATGGGGTGTTGGATTACCTGTTTGATGATGGTAGTGATGATTGGGTATACAGGTTTTCTCATTCAGGTTACACGGAGATTATCACTTGATGGCTAAACTATGAGGGAGTAGTTGAACAAGGGGGTTATTTGGTTCTCTCTCTCTCTAAGTCTCTCTCAATTGTAGATTTCCTTGGTTTCTGTCTCTTTCTTTATGTGATTTTGTTTGATCAATTTTTTAAATTTATGGTTAACCTATATGGTTTTTATCTCACTCTTATATGATTTTATTTCATTAGGGTTATCTAATTTGTGTAGACTAAACTCAGGGCTATATGACAAGCGATTCATTTTGATCGAAGTAATGGATGGAGGCCGGTTTTGGTGTTTTCAGTTTGTATAAATGCCAAAGTATGCACTCTGCAGGTCGGTTGTGATAACAAGTGTTGGATTTATCCAGTTTTTCTACTGGTGTCTCACTGTGTTCAAATGTGGTATCAACTATCAGCCACCAACTGTTGTTCCAGGGGGTGGACTTGGCCAAGATTCAGAGGGCTGTCTGCATGATCTCCAGCTCCACCAGAGTTGCAGAGGTCCTCTCCTAGATTGACCACAAGTTCGATCTGATGTATGCTAAGCATGCCTTTGTTCACTGACATGTTGGTGAGGGCATGGAAGTTTTCTGAAGCTCGTGAAGATCATGCTGCTTTGGAGAAGGATTATGAGGAGGTTGGTGCTGAATCTGCCCGAGGGAGATGAGTACTGAATGTAATGAGTGTGATTTGGTTCTTTACTTTTAGGGGGTGTTTTTTTTTGGACTTTGAGAGGGGGGAAGTTGGTTAATGGGATTTTGGTTCCCATTGACTAAGAATCCCATGTTCATTTTTCAGATTTATGTGAGGACAAAGGAAAGTTTATTTTTCTGGATATCCATCTCCTAGGTGGGTAAATAACTTTGACAAAAATACCCCTTTTAATAATGGATTTTTAAGGCTAAAATGGTCATTACTTTATTTACCTAAAAAATAAAAGAACTTGGGTAAATGCATTTACCAGGCTAAGTGTTTCCCAGGAAAAACTTATCCAGATAATTACATTTAGTTAGGTAACTTACCGAAAAGCCAAAGGGGCCTTTGTTCAAAATTAGGTGGACTGTATTTTCGCTTATTTCCCCGATGCTATATGTTTCACTGAAGCAGCTTAGATGCTGCTCATGCTTTATGTAAAAACAAAAAAAAAAAAAAAGAAAAACAAGTGTTGGATTTTGCGCATTTTGTATATTGTGCATGATGTTTCCTTTTTTTTTTTGTGGAATTTTCTTTTGTTTATGTGCCTATGACTTCAAATTTATAGCCCATAAAATTGCGAAACAGGCTAATGGTATTAATTTGAGCTTTTCTAAATAGTGGGATGGTCTATTAAACTGTTTGGGTTGTCCTGTGTGGTTTGATGGTTTTAGTTTATTATGAATAAAGATTGTAACAAGAGAGTGACGTGTCATGTCAGTTAGGCCAAGTGGGCCAAGTTGTATCAACGTGTATATATATCTCACCATACAAGAAATGAATTATTTGAGCCTCTTTATTCTGAGTCGTTATTTTCAGTGACGGGATCTGCTCCTCACATGCACATCACCGTGCATTGGGAATATCTTCCGGATGGTACGTTGGCTCGCCTAGATCTAGAGGGTTCATTCGTCATGTGGATAAAATGCAATTCCATGGTTAAGAGAGATCTGATACAGCCAGAGAAATTTGAGTGGATCTTGAAGAACGGTTTTTCCAAGGTAATGCACCCCAAGTATACCAGCTTAAGAGAGATCTGTCTCTCTTGCATCAAGGTGAACTCTTTATTGTTTCTTGTCTCTCTTGCATTAAGTTGAATTCTTTATTGTTTCTTATTTCACCAAAATGAAAGGATTGTGTGATGTGATGGAGGGCGATTTGGCCTGACCTCTTAATAAGGGGACACGTGGATGTGACTCGACATAGGAGATAACTCGGTATAGCCAGCTTGCTACAAAGTAGTACTCCACTACTCCGAGCTAGGGATCTTTCGAGCTGAAGTCATCCCGAGTTAAGAACACCTCAATACTCATCTCGAGCTAAGAGCACCTCGGTACTCATCCCGAGTTGAGGACACCTCGGTACCAGGCACGGCATTAATTCAATTTGGGGTGTACGACCCTTAGCCCGAGAACATCAGTTCGAGGTAGAAACCAGCTCGGGTGTATTGATCTACCCTCAACGTAATCCCGAAAGTCACTCCAACGGTTCCTGAATTCTGCGGGATCACGTCTCTCAACAACTAAGCACCATCTCCCCGTCCGATTCGGGCGGAAGTGATTAACCTTATCAACTTGATAAAGTTATATCCAGATAACACGGAAACGAACTCTATCATGGCAAAGATCACGGAACTACTCCGAAAAGCCTGCGAGGACTCCATTATATAAAGGCCTCCCTCCCGGGGCCCAAAGGTACGCGCAATTACTGCTTACTAGCTGTCTTGCTCTCCAATTATTCTCAGCTTGCATATACTGATTTAAGCATTGGAGCGACCTCGTCGGGTAAGCACCCTCGGGTTCTCTGATTTTCTGTGTAGATTCTCCACGTCCGTCGTCTACAGAAAGCTAAGCCCCTACCAGCTAGGAGCAACCAGATTGCGCAGCATCAATTGGCTTCTGTGGGAAGCGCTTCAAAAACCTCTTCCCACCAAGCATTCTTACTCAGGTTTCCATGGCTTCCTCCAGCAATGCCAGACACAACGCTGATATGAACACCTCTGGGGGGCAACCTCAGATCCCAACGGTATGCATCGGTCAGTTCACCGTACCTCTCTCTACAGGTGGGGTCCCTACTCTGAACGTGCCCTAGATCATGGCACCAGTGAATGCTCCTCTCCCCTCCACGGTAGGTGCAACCTTTGCTGAACCGTCTGTTCCCCCGGTGGCTGGACAGAACCAACTTGAAGATTTGGTACACTGCATGCGAGCTATGCAAGCTCAGATGCAGCAGGTCCAACAGTTCCAATTGTATCAGCAACAGGTACTGCACCATGTTTATCAGCAAAAGTTTCCACCACTGCCTCAAAACCAGCAGCCGCTGCCACCTCAGCATCCAACTACGCAGCAAACTAAGTCTCGCCGCCGTAGCGAACGCCCTCCTCGCCGGGGAGAGACCTCCCAAATCTAGAACCTTCAGGGGAGTCAAGTCTCATCTTGCGACAGGAGGGAGAGATAGATTACTCCTCCCACCTCGCAACAAGTAAATAGGTCGGGAAGCACCCAGCCCGCCAAGCTGGTTTGGCACTCTGGTCGCGGACTCCAGACAAGACCCTTCAGTTCGCAGCAGCCGTCGCCAGCAGTCCGAGCAGCTGCTAGTGAGAACGGTACCTGACAATACTGAGGCTAGTAGCACCAACACAGAGCCGGTAAGGAAGCAGCAAAGGCGACGCCACAGAGCTCGCCGAGCAGCAGTCCAGAACTCCACCGAACTGCCAAAGGGAAAAGAAGAGGCGAGCTCGAGGACTGTGAAGACCACTTCGCTTCTCACTGTGTTGTCTCCTCTATCTCCCGAACACTTGGCCACTCCGATGCCAAAGGATTTTAAGGTACCTCCCTTAGACAAGTATGATGGGTCGTTCGATCCGAACGACCATGTAGACTCATTTCAATCTCAAATGCACCTGGCCAGAGCAGATGAATCCTGCATGTGCGTTGCTTTCTCCACAACTTTCAAGGGGGTAGCTCACACATGGTATAGAAACCTTGCGCCTGGGACAATAAAGAGTTGGGCGCAGTTCGTGCAGATCTTTATCTCGCACTTCATTACTAGTAAGAGGTGCCCGAGGTCCTAGGAAAGCCTCCTCGGCATTATCCAAAGAGAAGGAGAATCTATCCGCAGCTACATCAAGAGGTTCAATGATGCATGTCTGCAGATACCTGACCTAGACCCCGTAGTGAGACTTACAGTAGTTAAAAGAGGCATTACACACAAAGAATTCAAGTGGCACGTGGTTGCCAACAAGCCTAAAGATGAAACTGAATTCCTCAAGCTCGCCGACCAGTTCATCGGAATAGAGGAGGAGATGAACCAGAAGAGCGAGAATCCATCTGATAAGAGGAAAAGAGAAGGCGAGACCTCAACTAATGGAAACAACAAGAGGAAAAAGGAAGAGCCAGCTCGAGGAGGAAAGCCAGATCAGCATTCCCGAGCTCCTCAAACTTTAAGAAACTACACTCCCTTGAACGCAAAGGGAGCAAAAATCCTCCTGGCGATCAAGGGCGCTTCTTACGTAAAGTAGCCACCTCAGCTGAGAGGAGACCCGAACACAAGGAACAGAAATGTATACTGTCATTTTCATAGATATCACGGTCATAGCACCGAAAATTGTAAAAACCTCCGCGACGGAAGAATTTTGTATTGAATGATAATAAAAGTTAAACAGGTCAACAAGGGGAGCAAAACAAAGACGCTCTCGAATCCAGCAGTAGGAAAAACGAGCAGCCGTAGAGACAACTGCCCGAAGAGAGGCCAGTTCGTGGAATAATACATATGATCACCGGCGGATCGATTGTCGCGGGTTGCACCTCAGCCGCAACAAAGACATCAGCTCGTGA